AGAAGGCGAAGGGAAAGTGGGCCGAGGAACTCCCCAGCGTCCTCTGGGCATACCGTACAACCCCTCGGAGGTCGACCGGGAAAACTCCATTTGCTTTGGCTTATGGCATGGAGGCGATCATTCCATTGGAAGTTGGCATGCCCACTCTCAGAAGTGAAAGTTTTGAGCCCGAGTTGAACGCCGAGGCCATTGCTCTGGAATTGGATCTGGTGGAAGAGCACCGGGAACAGGCTCTTATCCACGTGGCCGCCTACCAGCAAGAACTCTCCAGGAAATACAACAAGACGGTGCACCCCAGACCGTTCAAGGGGGCTGATTGGGTCTTGAGGAAAGTTATGGGCAATACCCTGGTGCCAGGAGAAGGCAAGCTAGGTGCAAATTGGGAAGGACCCTACAAGGTAACCGGTCTGGCGGGCAAGGGGGCATACCACTTGGAGGATTTGGATGGTAGAGCAATCCCGCAGCCATGGAATACGGCCAATCTCAAACTGTACTATTTCTAGCTTTTGTTTTCTTTTTGTGCAAAGGAATTTTTTGCCTTACACTTCAAAATGTAATTCTTTTTGTCAATATATAGAAGTGTCTTCTTTGCCTTAGCATTTTTGATTGATTGCTTTGAATACTTGAGATTCCAACCGAGATGAGTTACTCTGGTTGAAGGAGTTGATGGTTTGTTCAACTCAGAGATTCCAACCGAGATGAGTTACTCCGGTTGAAGGAGTTGATGGTTTGTTCAACTCAGGGATTCCAACCGAGATGAGTTACTCCGGTTGAAGGAGTTGATGGTTTGTTCGACTCAGGGATTCCAACCGAGATGCCCTACTCCGGTTGAGGGAGTAGATGTTTTGTTCAATTCTATCAGAATTAAAACCGAGATGGTGTATTCTGGTTATACAAGATGTTTTGTTCAGTTCAGGCACGCTCAACCATGATGGTGTATTCCGGTTATACAAGATGTTTTGTTCAGTTCAGGCATGCTCAACCATGATGGTTTAGTCCGGTTGAAAGAATTAGTGATTTGTTCAACTTTGTTGTTCCCACCGAGATGTTTATTCCGGTTGAAGAAGTTCCTCAATTTTGCTAAATTTATCGAGATGTTAACTCCGGCCAAGCTAGTTGGTGATTTGTGCAACTTAGTGATTTAAACTGAGATGTTTTGTTGAAGATAGAGTTCGAGAAAACCATGCAAATACTTGATGAAATTAAAGCTTTTCATTGATAGAAAGTTAATACAAAAGGAGGGGCAGAGAGCCCGGTTACATGTGCAAAGCAAAAAAAGAAATAGAAAAAAGAAAACTAAGCTAAGGGGGAGAGATTGGTGAATTCATCATCCGGAGTTGTCTCCAAGTTCACTGCTGGAGATCGGTCTTCAACACCGGGCTCAGTTCGGCCGGGCTGCTCCTGTTCTAGTTGCTCCTCTCCGTCAGTATCTTCCCCGGCCTCTTCCTCTTCAAGCCCTTCCTCGGTCTCAGCCTACAATGCACTGAAGACGTCATTGGCATATGGCACGAGGTAGGCCGGCAAGGAAGCACGCGGCGAGGTGGCAAAGACGTCAGTATCAGGACCCTGACCGAGATGCTCGCAGGCAGACTTCCAACCCGCTTTGGAGTAGATGTCTTGGGTAGCGAAGACCTGCTTCTTGTAGCTTCCCTCGGCTTCTAGGAAGCCGGCGTTATTTGCATCTCGGCAGTCCTTCTTCCTTGACTTTTTCAAAACGTCCAGCTCGACCTGGAGCTCATCGCACTTCTTCTCAGCCTTGTCAAGCTGACTGTGCAACCTGTTGTTGTCAGCATTGGCGATTTAGAGAGATGCTTTTGCCCGGCCAAGCTCGGCTTGGAGGCTCTGGACTTGGCTGGCTGTGTCATTTGCCTTTTGCCAAAGTCTGTGGATGCGTTCCATTACCAGGTGCTGCTTTTGGATAGCCTGCAAGAAACGAATTTGATTAGTAAAGGAACCGGGCAAACACTTGTAAAATCAGTGGAAGTTGGATCCTTACCCTGGTCATGGATTTCACTGCTGATTTCACCAACCGGGTGTCCGGGACGTGATCGCTGCCAACCCCGTCACTTGGCAGTAAGAGAGCTTTCGAGAGGTCAAAGGCCAAGAAGTGCTCTTTATCGCCCTTGACAGAAGCATTTGTTGGGATATCTTGGCCCCGGTGCTTGAGCTACGGCCGCTATGGTGGAATGGGATCAGCAGTGTTGGTGGGCTGCTTGGTTGTTAGCTCGGCAACCAGCTCGGCAGTTGGATCTGCGTGAGGTCTTTTGCCTGCCCGGCGGGGTTGGCTGGATTGCCTGGTAGCTAGAGATGCCAGGGCAACCACAGGGCTCCTGGATTAACCAGCAGCATGAGACGGAGGAGAAATGCTTGGTATTTCGGCGGATGTGGCTGTGAGGAGATTCTTGATGCGGCTTCTTTTAGCCATCTCTTGTTCCTTGGTCAGCCGGATTAGCGGAACGTCTGGCAGATTTGGGTCTGGAGGAGGAGTTGGAGCGCGGAGAAAGTGTGTAACTTTACTCCGGCGTGGAGCTGAGTATCTGTAGGTTGGAGTGTAACCGAGCAGCTCGTTGCAATCTCGGTGGCGATAGCGGAGCACGGTCCGAATTGCCTCTACGTTGGGAAATTGGTAGTTGGCTTGCAAGGCTTGGATTGCTGCAAAAGAAACAAGAAAACTGGTTAATTACAGAATAAAGAAGGTAGGTTGACCGAGCAAGTTTGAGCGGCTTACATGAGGAACCGAAGTTCTTGCTTATAAACCAGTCCGGTACGTCGGCTGTTTCATAATTGCCCGACACCCAGAAAAAATCGTCATCGTGCAAGTCTTTATCCAGGGTGCCGGTTACAATTTTCTCCTTGCCCGGTCTGATTTTCAAATAATAGGCTAGGTCGTCACCGGTGTGACCTATCGTGTATTGCCTTAATATCTCGACTAAACCTAAGTGGGTGCCTAGCCGGTTGTTCAGTTCATGGACGCCGTTGATAATTCGGTAAGTGTTGGTGGACACTTGTGTGGGTGCCAGCCCGGTGCGGTGGAGGAACTCGGTGATAAGTGGGTTGAGTGGGAAGCGGAGGCCTCCTTCGATGATAGATAACACGGTGAAGGGGCATTGTTCTGATCTGCCCCAAGGCATTGTTTGCTCTTCTGCAAGCTTAAGGTGGACGTCGGCCGGGATGCCGTACTCCTCCCTGAACACGGCCAAGGCAGCCGGAGTATCTACGAGGAAGCAGCATTTCCTCATTTACGACCGGCTAAATTATCTCGGCTGTGGTTTGGCACTGTCAGGTGATTTGTGGCTGCTCGGTCTTTGGGAGCCTCAGGAATGGTTAGTGGTCCCCTTGGACTCTGCAGGAAAAGGAGGGCAAGTGTAAGAGGGAGCGCGGTCGCACAAAGCGAGCTTGACTTTAGCTTAGTCGTCTAGAGTGCCAAACCACCTCGGTCGTAGAGGCTAACCAAGGAGCTCGGCCGCCCAAGCAGACCAGATTTTAGCCCGGTTGAGCGGCCAAGACCTTTGTTATCCCGGTTCTTGCTATGGTTAAGTCTAACAGGTTATTTGCTCGGTCGGGATGGTTTTTTGGATCAAACGAAGACCTGAAGCCCGGTCCGCCCCAGTTCTTCGAAGTTCATCAGCGAAAATGAAGAACACCATGAACAGTGGGAGGTTTGGGACGATTTCTATGGCCTATGTCCTAAGAACTACGTTTTATTGCCCTATTGTGTGAAATATCAAGGAAAATAACAATAACAAGGGTTGGAGGGCTTACCAATATGGAGCAGTGGCTGCTTCTTCTTCGAGCGTGAGTTCAGGAATGGCAGAGGAGAGGCAAGAGCTCTGGTTTGCTTGGAATGGCAGTGAGTCAGTAAGAGCTCAAGGAAGATGAGGGGGGGATGTTTATAGGGGAGACGAGACCGCCCAAATTCAAATTTTGGCAAGACGGCGGGTTGGCTGCTCGAGAACCAATGGCAGCCCGCCACGTGTCCCCATTTATGACGACGTCAGAACTGAAGAGACAGGTTGAAGAGTTGAGTCAACCGGGCTACTTTTGAAGAAGAGGACGTCAACCGAGGAGTATAACCGGGCAAGTTTGCAGACAGGAATGTCAATTAGCCCGGTCGCCATTTCGCATTCTGAGGACCAAGGAAGTGTTATCCCGGTCGAAATAAGTAATTCCAATCACGCTTTTGCGGACGGAATTAAGGGGCAATTGAGAGGGAGATTTATGATCTGAGATTGAGCCGTGACGTTAGCCGGACAGATTTGGGCCGAGGTATTGGGCTCTAAGATCAGACCGTGATATTGCTTGGTAATGACAAAGCCCACGTGGAACCGAGTTATTTGATCTCGGCTCCGCGAAGGCCGGACAGGTGAAGGAACAGCCTAGATGAGGCTCCCCGGCTCACGCGTTGCAAGGTTGTAATGCACACACCTTAACCCGGTAGGAAGGCCTGTGCTTGGAGCTTGGCCGAGAAGGTCTTTGGCTGACCGGCGTTACCAATCTCCAGCTCAGCTTCGCCGGAATACAGTTGAGCACGGCTGGAATTAAGCCCGGTAGTAGGAAACTACGACATCAACTGCACTTGGGCATGTTCAGTATGGCTGTTGATAGCCGAGATAATGTTGCCCGGCTGCCGTGCTCCCAGTAGAGTGGGCTGGCAGTTGGGTTAGGTGATGTATAGCAAGATTTGTGCTGACAGATGGGATAACAGAGCCACGTGTCGAGAGACCAATGGGAGTAGATTTGGGGCGCAGAAGGGTATATAAGCATGTCTGTGCCCCCCATACGCGATACAGGAACACTTGGTAAGGAAATTCTTACACTCAAACACTCCGCTCTCTCTCTCTATCCAGAGGTGTGTGCTAACTTGATCGTCGGAGGATTTTTCCGGCCACACACCGCTGGGTAGCTCACCGTTATTTGCTCGCAGGTGACCGAATAGAAGCGGAGCTTGGAAGAAAGGAGTGCGGACTTGCCTGAATATTTGCTCCCCGCACAATTGTCTTCTGTGCTGTGTTATATTTGGATTTTTCTTGATATCAGTTCTCTGGTTCTTCTCATGGCTGAAATTGATAACCCACCAAGTGGAGGAAAACGCACGCCGCCTAAAGACTTAGTATGATGTCCCATAACTAGTCAAGTCACGTATTTCATGATCCTGTGACTCTAGAGACTGGTCAGACTTACGAGCGTGAAGCAATTCAAGATTGGCTTGATAGGGGAAATTGTACGTGCCCAATTACGCGCCAAAAGCTTCCCAGCACTCAACTGCCTAAAACAAATTATGTACTTAAACGTCTCATAGCGAGTTGGCAAGAACAGAATCCCAATTCAGTTCCCGTCAAAACTGAAGACTCACAAGCAGAAAGAGAGCCATTTTTGAACTCAATGACGCATTTGATTTCTCCTAACATTGATGGCACAGTTAGTGAGCTGCGACAAGCCATTACAAACCTTTGTATGTCAGAAATTTTAAAAGAGTCAGAAATGGCGGTGCTACAAATTGAGCGGTTCTGGCAGGAATCAAAAATGGAAGTCGAGATTCAAACTATGCTCTCGAAACCTCCGGTTATTAATGGGTTTGTGGAGATCCTTCTCAATTCTGTGGATCTCCAAGTCTTGACCGCGACAGTTTTCCTCTTGTCCGAGCTTGGATCAAGAGACCACACTGTGATCCAGACACTAACCACAGTGGATTCTGATGTGAAATGTGTTGTTGATCTTTTCAACAAGGGTTTGTTTGAATCTGTTGTGTTGATTTACTTGCTAAGACCCTCCTCCACGAGCCTCATTGAGATGGAAATCGTGGAGACCCTTTTGACAGTTATTAGAAATAAAGAAGATGATACGCTCAAAATGTGTATGAAGCCAAAAACAGCAGCAGTGATTTTGTTGGGCCAAATACTTGAAAGTGCTCAGGAAATTAGTGAAATTGTGAGGAGGGCTATTACGACAAAGGCAATTGAAAGTTTTGTCACGAGCTTGCAATCCGATGGGGTAGAGGAAAGGATCACTGCGGTTGGTATCTTATTGAGGTGCATGCTAACGGAAGGCAAGTGCAGGAATGACATTGCTGATAAGGCTGAGTTGGGCCCTGTTTTGGAGAGCTTCATGGGCACAAATGATAGTGAGCGCTTTGAGATAGTTCGATTTTTTTCTGAATTAGTTAAGCTGAATAGGTACTTTTTGTTTTGCTCAGTGTTTTTCCATCCTCATCTATGGCTTTTCATATTTGTATATCTTCAATAATTTTAGACTCAATTAACAATGCAATTTTTTTTTTTCAGAACAACGTTTATTGAGCAGATCCTCCATATCATAAAGGATGAAGGAACTTATAGTACAATGCACACACTCCTCATGTATCTACAGACAGCCCTCCAGGATCAATGTCCTATCGTAGCTGGCCTCCTCCTCCAGCTTGACATTTTGGTTTGAAATTTTCTCTCCCTCCCCAGTGATCAAATTTCTTTTCCATATGTTGTTTTGGTTAGCTTGGAAATAGAAACATTTCTGAAATGTTTCAGAAACATAAGGGAAAGGGGAAAAAAGGGAATAGAAAACATTTTAAATGTTTAGAAACAACTAATTGTTTCGTAGTGTTTTGGTGCGTTTCAGCATGTTTCAGTAGAAACACTGGAATTTCAGAAATTCATTAATGTTTCATTTTGGTTTTCTAGAAAACGGGAACATTTCAACTGTTGCAATAGAAAAGAAACGAAATTTTGTTCCGTTCTCTCTCTCTCTCTCTCTGATAAAATGGCTTCTAACAGTATTTTAATTAGTACTTTTTCATTTTGTAGGAGGAGCCAAGGAAGATGAGCATATACTGAGAAGAGGCAATAGATACCCTTATTTCATGCCTAAGAAATTCAGACTTCCCTGCCACTCAAATAGCAGCTGCTGAGACAATTTTGGCCCTCCAAGGGCGATTCTCTTCTTCTGGAAAGCCCATTGCCCAGATCTTTCTCCTTAAACGTGCAGGACTTGACAAAAGTTACAAATCTTTAACGAGAAAGGAGCAGTTTAGGAACATATCAGGAGACATTCCAGGAAATTTGGTTCGCTCATTTGTTTATTGTTATAATCTTTGTAATCTTCACAGATACCTTATTTTTTGTTTCTCTTAATGTTTAGGGCAAATTACACTTTACCCTGTCAACTATGGGCCGTTGTTAATTTACCCCCTTCAACTAAAAATTACTACATTTTGCCCTTGTAATCTTCGGATTTGTTTCAATCTCAAACTTTTGCTAACACGTCATTATGAAAAGAGAATGAAAAAGTGGCATAGGAGCTGTACATACCAATTTTACAAGAAAATATTCATTTAGTAGGTGCTTTACATACATATATGTGAGACAGATGTATAGATTTTCCCATATGTGTGCATATATTTTCTCTCACATTTCTTCATAGGAGAGGAGAAGATATATACATATCTCTCACATATACGTAAATAAATCAGTTCTCTAATGAGTATTATGGTCATAAAATTGGTACGGGCAGCTCACATGTCATTTCCGTCCTCTTTCATAAGAAAATAAAAAGATGAGATTGAAACAAATCAAAGATCAAGGGGGTAAATTGTAGCAATTTTTTGTTGAGGGGGGAAAACTGACGACATCTCATAGTTAAAGCAAGCTGAAATAGTTATGCCCTATTGTTTATTGTTACATTTTTGTTGTTTATATTTGCTAAACTACATGTCTTTTCAAACATAAAATAAAAAATGTGATCCCTAATAAACTACAAACTAAATTACCAATTACTCACAATGTGGGGTGAGCTCCATACTCTTGTGATGGGATCCACACCTTATTGTGAGTAGTTGACAATTTAGTTTGTAGTTTATTAGGAATGACTTACTTAAAAATTTAAATTCTATCTATTGGAGGAAGAGAAGGCTGCTGAGGAGTGGGAAAGAAAATTGGCATTTGCTCTTGTCAGCCATGAATCTGGTCTGGTGTTTGAGGCTTTAGCAGTAGGCTTAAAGAGTAGATATGCAGAGTTATGTTCAGCATGCTTTGTGTCAGCCACGTGGCTTTTACAAATGCTCAATGTCCTTCCAGACACAGGCGTACGAGGAACAGCTCGTGTATGCTTGCTCAAGCGCTTTTTATCAATATTCAAGTCTGCAAAGGACAAAGAAGATAAAGTCCTTTCCATGCTCGCTCTGAACAGCTTCATCTGTGATGCTGGTGCGTAACAATTTATGGAATTAGTAAAAAGTTTGCTCCATAATTTTATTGCAAGATAGTTATTGCAAAACTTGATTTATATCCAAAAAGGTTAATAATTGTAGAAATGGGTTAAAGTATCTATTCTGAAGGAGCAAAATCAGTATGTAAGACGTTCATTAGTAGGGGGAAAAAATGTGAAAAGAAAACAATTATGGCAATCGCTGCTTCTATATAATCAAAGTGATATCTGCATAATATATATATATATATATATATAGATTTTGTTAACGCGTGCCCTTACGGCACATGCTGATAAGCTTAAACAGATTGTACATTTTGAGTCTATTTGGTCATAATTATGTATGTCTGCCTACATCTTTCTTGGGAATCTATTTTGTGAAAAGAACGTAGTTCTTGTACTTGGCATTGTGTCTTGCAAAGGGGATGGGTGAAGTTACTTCCCACAGGAAGGATATCTTAACGGGTCTGAGAGAGCTCAAGAAATCGTCTACAATGGCATTTGATATGCTGAAAGTTTTCTCAGAAGGGAATGACTCCAGTGCTGTAAGTTTCTTCTACTTTATTCTATTCTGTCTTATCTCGGAAAATTGGAATTAGCTTCAGGCAATATTCTGTTCTTTTGCACCAGGACCTGTGGAATCATAAAGAATTAGTTCAAGAAGATTGCAATGTAAATGGAAAAGTGCTGTCAGTAGTTTGCTTCAAAAACAAGATATTTTCTGGCCATTCAGATGGAACGATAAAGGTAAATGAGCCAATCTGTTAGGCTGTGTTTGGGTCTTGAATTTGGAGAGGAATTTGTGGAGAAAAGGGAAAAGTGACAAAATTTTAGCTTATATTTCGTTTTCATTTCCCTCGTTTCCTTTTCCTCCATAAATCCCTCCCCCAATACTAGATCCAAACACAACTAGTATTTTTCATGGATTGTACTTTCCATGGTTTCAGTTTTTTAAATATAGTGGCTTATGTGTGGATCCTAGAATTCTAAACAGGTTTTGTATTTTATAGACAGTGCATGTATTTATATATATCTCGTCATTTAAAGAACTGAATACAAGTATAACACATGTACATAAACAATTCACATGTATATAAACAATTCAGTTGTTGTTCTATGCATTCCCCATGTAGATGGCTTTGTATATACATTTGGTGATTGGAAGTCTCACTACTACACTATAACTTAGTGAAATAACCACAATCATCGGAATTGATCCTATAGAAGATGATGGCAATTATTAAATTAACTGTTAATATATATAATATATCTACATAGATAATATATATAATCTATATACATAGATTAGATTAATGTATAGTTAGTGGCAGTAGTGGCATTGTGCTTTCGGCTGCTTTTCCTTTCTGTCCCTTTCCTATGATGGTGTCTGTATAGCTTTAGCATCTTCCCATCTCCTATATATGAAGGAGTGTGTGTATCTATTGTAAATCAACAAATCAATACATAATTCATTTTCTCTATTTCTCTATACATAAACTCTAACATGGTATCAGAGCTAGGTTAAGAA